CGGGCTGGGAACGGCGATCCCGGCCGGACCGGGCCGGGAGCGGCGATCCCGGCGGGACCGGGATGAACCGGGCTGGGAACGGCGATCCCGGCGGGACCGGGATGAACCGGGCTGGGAACGGCGATCCCGGCGGGACCGGGCTGGAGCGGGCTGGGAACAGCGATCCCGGCCAGACCGGGCCGGGAGCGGCGATCCCGGCGGGACCGGGATGGACCGGGCCGGGAGCGGCGATCCCGGCAGACCGGGATAGACCGGGATGGACTGGGCCGGGAGCGGCGATCCCGGCAGACCGGGATAGACCGGGATGGACCGGGCCGGGAGCGGCGATCCCAGCGGGACCGGGCTGGACAGGGCCGGGAACGGCGATTGCGGACCGCGGTCCCGTGATCCCGGTGGGATCGGGCCGGGAGCGGCGGTCCCGGACCGCGATCCAGGGATCCCGGCTGGACCGGGCTGGGAGCGGCGGTCCCGGGCCGGGAACACCTCCACTGCAGGACACTCCAAACCCTGTTCCAGGGCTCGGTCACTGCACTGGAAAGTTCTACCTCTTGTCCAGGTGGAGCTTGCCATGCCCGTAGCCTCTTGTATTGCACCACTGAGAAGAGCCGGTCCATCTTCTTGGCAGCCCCTTTAGATAATTGCACACACTGATAAGGCCTCTCTCAGCTGTGTCGCTCTTGAGGCCGACCAGTCCCAACTCCCTCAGCCTCTCCTCGTCAGGGAGATGATCCAGTCCCTCCTTCATTTTCACAGCCTCTGCTGCACTCGCTCTAGGAGCTCCACGTCCCTGCTGGCCCGAGGAGCCCAGAGCTGGACACTGCTCTCCAGAAGTGCCTCACAGGGCTGAGCAGAGGGGGAGAATCCCCTCCCCGACCTGCTGGAAATGCTGTTAATGGTGACACCACTGTCCTCCCCCTGGCACAGTGCTGGTCAGGGCCAGCTCCGTGTCCGTGCGAGCCCCCGGGTCCCTGTGCGAGCCCCCCGTACAGCACTGACAGGACACGGGCCGGTTCCGAAGGCAGCAGGTTTAATGGCACCGCAGGCGCGGCCCCGCCGCTGAGCGCGGCCCGTCAGGCGGCTCCCGGCTGCGGCGGCCGGTACCGGTACAGCTGCACGGCCCCGTCGCGGCGCCCGGCCAGCAGCACGGCCCCGCCGGCGGCCCAGCGGGCCAGCGCCCAGCGCCCCGCAGGGCCCGGGGGCAGCACGGCCGTGCAGCCGCCCTGCAGCAGGTCCCACACGGCCACCGCGCCCGACGTCAGCACGGCGGCTCCCGCGGTGTCCCACACGTCACCCTCCAGGTACCTGCGGGGACACGGGGGTCAGTGGGAAAAGGGGATGTGCAAAAACACCATGGCAGCCTTTGTTCAGTTAGCTCAGGGCTCAGTTAAAGATTAATAGCAACTGCAGGCAGCCCACAGTCTGGACTGTTCCTCCAGTGCAACTGGGAAGGGAGGAGGGCAGGAAAATCCCCCTGGAGATTCAGAACATACTTGAAAAATGAGTACTCTTAAAAACGTGGTTCTCTTAAAAAAAAAAAAACCGCAAATGTCCACGGCCAGGTTGGACAGGGCATAGAACAATCTGGTCTAGTGGAAGGTGTCCCTGCCCGGGGCAGGCAGTGGGACTGGATGGTCTTTAAGGTGCCTTCCAACCCAAACCATTCTGTGATTCCATGACTGCTCAGTAACCAAGACCTTGGTCCACCACTATTACCCCACATCCATCACATTTCCTGCATAAGGACACTGTAAGGCTGAGCCCTTGCTGATGCCTGAAAACACAGGACAGGAAGGAAAAGGCCATGTGCCTGCAGACAGCTGCTGCACACAAACAAACCTGGCAGCACCAGGAGGAACCCAGGGACACCCCCCCGGTCCCTGGGGACAAGGCCAGCCCCGTGTCCCCGCGGTGACGGTGACAGAGCTGACGGGGCGAGGGGTCAGCACGCAGCCTGGAGCGGGCAGGAAGCAGCCCCCGGCCCCAGCCCGCACCGGACGCACGCAGGGCCGGACGCAGCCCCTTATCGCGGGGAGACGGCCGCTGGAGCCCTGCCGGAGCTGGCCTGCTCCTCAGGGGCTCCAGGGGCTCTCCCAAAGCCCCCGAGGAGCCAGCCCAGCCCAGCCCAGCCCAGGGACTCGCCTGCCTGCCAGGCCGGGCGGGAGGCAGGAGAACATCACCCCCGCGCTCCGGCCCGTGCGCGGGTTGAAGGCCACCACTCGGAACGCTGGGCTTCCACAGGACTCGCTCTCTTTGGCGTGAGGATGGCTTAAAACAACAAACAAAAGGCCCTGATACAGAGAGGGAAAATACATCACTAAAAACAACAGCAGGAGGAGGAAAACCAAAATAATTTTCCAAAAATTAACTGCTACACTCTCTCTAATCACAGCCCCATGAACAGTGATGCATTATTTTTACTGAGGAAAACAGAAATGGTTTACTTTCCTTATCAAATTAGATAAAAGCAAAAGCAGCTGCTGGCTGATAAAGGCTGATGCAACACAGCAGACTGACAGCTCAGTGACCCGAGGGATTTATGAATTTCTCTTCCTGTTTAAAAAAGCTAAACCTGCCATATGATGAGGTGACACTTCAAAAAACAAAAGAAGCAAAATTTCTGGGTCACATTTTAATCCCTACAAGATTAAATGCAACAAAAATTCAATGAAAAGCAGCACAACTGAAAGCAGTAGCTCACAGCTACTAAAACAAACCAGCATGAAATATCCTGGGATGGATAATGTCAGGAAGACTCCAAAGAGTCTGACCCAAGGCATCATTATTGGACAAGACATTCTTGTCCCAAAAGGTTACATGATCATTGAAAACAATCAAATCCCTGATAAACCACAAAACCCCCTGGGAATCACAGCACAGGCAGAAGGAAGTGGGGAAAGATGCTTAGTATGAATGTTGGTTTCACACAGCTCATTCCCTCGGGCATATATGTCCAGAGGAACCATTCACAGCAGGTTTCTAATGCTGGCAGCACCCACGTGTGCCATGGAAGAGGCTTGCCAAGCACCAGGCCTGGGCAACAGCACTTCTGCTTCCCACACACAGCATGCTGCAGCTTTGGAATGCATCGGGATGCATTGCTCCCACTTTATTAGCACCCTGCAGAAAGCCAGGACTTGTGACCTGCTTACCCTTGAATTATTTGCAGTGTATTGAACCAGAGCTGACAGTTCAACCCTCTAGCAGCTTCAATCCTTTCTATCCCCATCCCAGGCAGTGCAGCCCAAGCATGAACTGTCAATTTTGTGTACGTACGGAGTCAGAATAGGCTCGATGGCAGATGAAAGCTGGGTAGGAATAACCAACGTGCATGTTCCTCAGGAGCTGACCCGTTTTCAGATTCCTGCAGTTGGTGAAAACACAAATTCTGACTCATTTCTAATCACAGTTACACCCCTGTGCAGGATGGACATGGGTTTCGTTCCACATTAAGCAAACTAAGCCAAGAGCCAGGAAGGGTGTAGTGAGGATGACACAAAAGCAATGGAATTACAGCAGCACAGCTCATTCCCTGGCTGTCTGACTGTGGTGCCACACTGACCACTGGCCCTCTGACAACCACCATTTCATGGTGGCCCTGCAGCCAGCCAGCACCCCTGTACAGCCCTGCAGCTGCTGAAACTGCCCCCAGCCCCTAAACTGTGTGTGGCAGAGGAAACACTCACCAAACCACAATGCTGTTCCCTGCAGTGGTGCCCACCAAGGCCTCCCTCATCCCTTCTACTTCAGCAAAGGCTGTAACAGTTTCTTCAGGGGGCATCAGAGTCTGCCTGTCCTTGCTCCTGAAAGGAGACCAGCACATAGAAGAGCAGGTAACACAAAAAGTGTGATTTCTGGAAGAGGAGCATGACACTGCTCAACATCCGAGGTGTTTCTTCACTTTTATCCCACCCATCACACAGACACCACCGCAAAGCAGCACCCCCAAACTCACCCCCCTGTCTCTGACAGAGAAACCATCTCCACTTGCTGCTCCTGCATGGTCTTGCTGCTGCTCACCAGCCTCCAGTCCTTTAGCCCAACAACTGCTTTTATATTCCCAGTTTTCACTAGGGAGTGCTTGAATGAGTCAGTCTCAGAGGAATAAAGCAAGAGCCTAAATCAAGAGACAAGCACACACCATGACAGGAGGAAGCCCCACTCAAACATGCAGTAGCATATAAAGATCAGCCTGTGTTCAGTCTGCCAGCTCTGAGGTGAATAAACAGGTCTTTACAGTTGATTTTTAGAAACTCCTTCCATATTTTACAACTGTTAAAGCAACTGAGAAAGTGCCACATTAGTAAAAAGATAATTTCAACCACTTCTCACAAGGAGTTGAACTTCAATTCCTCAGGATGCAAAGCACTAGTAAGAAATAAATACAAAACCTTATTTCTCCAATCTCCAGCTCTCCCAGTGCTACACACACGAGGTTACAGGTGTCTGGCAGAGGAACAATCTGGATTACAGGAATCTGGGACAACAAAACAAGAATTCAGTGCCACCCACAGTGTCCCTTTGACTTTATTCTCATTTTCTAGAATGCTTTTTAGTAAATTTAAGTAAAATTATGTGGAGCAGAATTAATTTTCAGATCCCTCTCAAGAATCACACTTAAATGAACAGCTGAACTCTCTGCTGACTGGCTGCCTAATTAAATAATCC